CTCTGTCTGAACTTCCTCAAAGCTGGGGTGTGTTTGAGTGTTGCAGACATAAACCAAAACCCATAAATGGAGCTGTCTTTGAATTACTGTAGGCTGACTTAGCCATTGCACTAAACGAGCTCTGTCTGTGCTGCAGTGGTGCATGCTCTGAGTGAACTCGGACAGAGCAAAGCCTTCTGGAAGGAAATCCTACATTGGTTACACATTGCACGTTAAATACAGTGCAATGTGTAATTTTGCTTGCAGGGAAGCTATTTTGTGAAGAATGACTTCCCTTTTATGATGTTTCTGCTGATCTGTCCTAGGTGGAGGGAAAATGGCATATAACAATGAATGCCAGCCATTCACTGGCATGACGCACAGCTTCAGCACTTCTGTTCCCAAGGCCACGTTACGGCCGTGCGTGGTAGGGCGCGCACCCCGCGCTCCGAGTCGGCTGAAAGCACACGTAGCCAGGAAGCTTTCCCCCGTTTTGGGCAATCGTGTGCGTTGTTCAGTAAGAACCGCTCGGTTTAGCTTGGGATGTTGTTCCCGATGTGCTTGTTGCAGACTGGCGCGTGGGTGCTGGTGGCTGGTGTCCGTTGTGGGTGTGCTTCCTGCTTGCTTCTGGGGCATGCTCATGGCCATAAAGGGCCTCTGAAAAGATGTAAAGGGTTGTGGAAAAGTGATAGGATTATCCTAAAAATGATAGATATATCCTAACTTTTTATAACGGGTAATAGAAAGGCTTGTGGTGGTGGCCAACTAAAACCTGTGAAAGATGTTTGTGATCAGCTCTTCTCAGAGCCTCACAGAATTATATAAAAAATATGCGTGTGTATCTATCTATCGAGATAAAGACACGTGCGTGCACGTGCGCACACATACATATATCTATATACCTATATGTAGATAGATACAGATATATCTATCTAGATATAGATATAGATGTGTCTGTGTAATATATATGAGATGCACACAAACACACGTGTGTGTGTATCTATATGTGTGCATATCTGTATCTGTGTGCGTCTCCAAAGACCAAACTGGAGTCTTGTGTTGAAAATACATAAATCCATCAGACACTGCACCACATATATATATATATATATATATATATATACCCCATTGGCTTAACAAAGCAATGTTCGTTCACAGCTAGAAAATGTAGAAATCAATATATGCAAACAGAGCATTTTACAACTCCTCTGAAGTGCAACAGTGATTATTATGGTTTCCTTTATTGCCATCCAGTAATGAGAATGGATAAGTCTAAGCGTTTGCAGTACGGGGAAAATTCTCCATAAAAGGTATAATGATGGGTAGAAATGTGGCAAAAAACTAATGAACAAATTCTGCTAGTGAATACAGTGCACCTAACGTGTCCCATCTCTGACGTGCTGGCACTTTGGGATATGCATGGTGTTCAGTCTCCTACTAACTCTGCTCAACCCAACCCAGCTTCGGCAGGTTTCTGCAGGTGCAGGCAGGCAAGACGTGACCCAGTGTCCTAGAAAGACAGCACGGAGGGCTGCTGTAGAATATTGATTGAATCAGTGTTTCAGTGGAGAAGTAATTCAGTTTTCGTTTTGTGCAATTTGTAAGCACATCGTGGAAGGTAACTAAGTGAGAAATACTCTGTATTGGCCCCTTCGGCATCCTTCATGAGCCTGCCCACGAGAGTAGTGTGTGTGTGCACATGCGTGTGCTCACTCGCACTGACTTGCTTTATAGCTTATTGTTAATGCCTCCAACAGATCAGGTTTCCTGAGATTCAGATCCAGGCTTAGGGATGCATTTAAGCATGTGCTTGTTGTAAGCACACAAGGGGTCACACACAAGTTGATGTGTCGTGTGTGCTCTGAAGTCCAGCTGTAGGATGCTGCTGAAAAGATGCCTTCATGCATGAGTTAGGGGGCTTGGAGGGGCGTGTTGTCGGTGTGCTGAGACAAACGGAGGGGCAGCAGGTGGATTTAGGCAATTTAACATGGCCCAGCTGCTGAGGCATGTTGGGCAGTCTGACGGCAGAGAAGGGTAGCCCAGCTTAGACCCCACATGTTGTGTTGTCAAACTAGGCCTCGCGCTTCTTTCCTGCGTTATTTCCAGCACTATTGCATGCCGTCCTCGTCCTGTTCCCTATCTGGGCTGCAAGGTCTTCAGGGAAGGGACCATCATACCAGGTGCCTGTATCACGTGGAGCACAGCAAAGGTCCTGGTCCTGGGTTCAGCTCTAGGGTGCTGCCATAATACTAGTGGTAAACACAGTGAGGGAGATGCCTTGCCTCTATTCTACCCAGTAATAAGCACTAAGGTACTACATTTACAACCAACATAAAGCACTCGAGGCCACCGGAGCAGCATGGTTGGGAGAGTTTGAATGCACAAATTATTCCCTGCAGTGTTGCCTCTCCCTGTATGGACTGAGGTCCTACGTGCTCCCTTCTTCAGGGCAGAAGAAAAGCCTTTGCCAGCCGTGTGTTTCCATGCTGCTGTGAAAGCAAAATCGAATATGAAAGAGGTTCTTAATTTTGGGTTATATTGACTTCCTCCATAACCTTCACAGCTAGAAAGAAGCGGGTCAATAAATCAGTGCTACTTGCAGTGTTGGAAACAAAAACAAAAAAATTAAGAAGCTGTTAGCCCTTTATTGGGCAATATTGAACATGGGATATGACCAAAAAGGCCTCTCTTCCACAGGGCAAGAAAACATTTGTTTAGAAAGCCAAGGAGAAAATATACATCAATAAGGGAAAAATCCAATGATGCCTTTACACTGTACCCTGGAGTACTTAACGATGCATGAGATGGATGCTGTTGGTCTCGAGATATGTCAAGCACCATCACTCATTTTGAAAGCCGCTCAACCAATCTGCTGCTTAAGGGAGGAGCAGAAAATATTTCTGTGTTAGGAGGGCCCACAGTTACTAAGCAAGGTGGGACTTGTGGAAACTCCTGTGAGATGTCATAAGTTAGACATTAAAAAAATTGAAAGAGAATCGACAAATCTCTCTCTCCCCTTTTTTTAATGCCAAAAGCTGCACTTCTTGCAAAATGGAAAGCAAAGATGGAACATGAATGTCCATGTCACGTGGCACACCGAGAAGTGTGCTTCCCAATCCCAGGATGCCTTTGCTCCATGCGTGTTCTTCTCATTGCATTTCATTTGGTCTTTGCGCTCTCAGGTGTCTCCCTATTTTATCATCCCTCACAGCTGAAACAACAGCTCCCAACATTATATCATCTACAACTTCAATTAACAGCCCTATTTATTCTCCTCATCCAAACAATTTAATAAAACTTAAACCTCATACCATTTCCCCCAATGCACTGTTCTGGATGCCTCCCGTGATCTTAGTGTCTCTTATTTATTGGTTTTCTTTCTCTTTCCTGACCCGTTTCACAGTTAGACTGAGTGAATTTGTCAAGAAATGGCAATTGAGCCTCATGCCTGATGTAGTGGTTCCTACAAGGGGGAAGCTTGTTGCTGGTTAAAGAGTACAAGGGGTAGAGTTGCAACGGGGCCAGATATACGCTTTATCGTCCCAAGCCCCCCATCCCCTGCATCAGGTGTTGGGCTAACTCTTGAGGCACCTGTGCTGTCACTAGTAAAGTGTCCAAGGGCCCTGTGTCCAACCGTCCATGACCCCGCGAAGCAGACCAGCTCGGTGCCTCTGCCCAGAAGGGCTTTGCAAACGAACAGTCGCCTTGTCCCTGGGCATGATCCTGAGACCAAGCTGCCAGGTGCAAAATGCTGCAAGGAGGGGAAGGTAGTTCCCCCATGTTTGTGCAATAGCTGAGCGGTCGGAGGCCTGACTGGGAGCGTTCCCCCGACCCTGACCTGTCAACACCAATAATGTTCACTAGTTTAACAGGTAATAACTCATTTGTCCTTCCCTTATCTTTTTTCCCTTCAAAACATAAATTAGTCATGCGTGTAGCAGCACTGAGACTTTTTCTCATTGTTTCCCCCTCCTTGTCTAGTTACTTTTTTATCCTCCAGTCCTGCAAAGTTTCTACATTAAAACACCGGCACCAGGCTGAAGGCCAGGCGGGTGGCTCCTTATAAATATTGGTGTCAATAAACCCATGCAACCCCTTTAGTATGACTGGTTATGTTAGCATAAAGATGCTTTCTTTGGTTATGAGCCGAGATGCAGGTCAACCCCATACCATGAATAGACTTCTTCTGTTTCAGACTTCAGTTGGTGGGCTAAAACAGTGCAAAAATGGTCTGAATGCCCAACAAAGCTAAAAAGGGACTCTTGCTACAGCCATCACTGAGCCAGTACATAAACTGAGACCTTCTTTAACACCGTTTCAGACCAATCTCCAAATGACGCGATTTAAAAATGCTTGAGATTGTTTAGTGCTTGCACTTGCTCTGATCTGGTACGTTGGGTATGCAAATAAGGGTAATTCATATATTGAAGGAAAACCATTGATGAGTAGAGTGGTAGCTAGCTCCTACTCTGTATTAGGAAAATACACACAGCATAGGATCCTGAAGTCGAGCTCAAAGTTGTTCAGATCAAGTGTAGGAAATTGCCTTATTTGAAAAACCTCTTAAACGGCTTCTACAGACTGCCAGCACAATTTAATAAGTCTTGGTTTTGTCTATCACTTTTGTTTAAACCTAGAGACAAAGGAAAGCTAGGGGAAAAAAAGGGCATTCGTATTTCAGTTGGCTTAAAAGGGCTTTTATTTAAAAAAAACAAACAAACCCTGGTTTAGAAGAGGTAGCAATAAGCATACATTTAGTTGGAGAGCAAACTTGAGTGGAAAAAATTGTTGCCCGTAATTAGTCTGAATAATGTTCCTCGTAGTGGCTAACAGCAGAAACGCAGGCACGTGCTGGGGTGAAAGTGTGCACATCTTTCTCCTGGTTTCTGATTGCCATAGGCAAAGCAGTGCATGAGGTGCCTGGATATTGCACTGAGATTTGGGGGGTGGACGGGACGATTTCCCTGGACTTCCCAGTTCTGTTATGCTAACTGACCTCTTCACTTGAAATGTATTTACAGATAAGCAAACAGCAACTCCAGACAATCAAGGATCGATTCCAGGCCTTTCTCAATGGAGAAACACAAATTGTGGCGGATGAAGCCTTTATAAATGCGGTGCAGAGTTACTACGAGGTAAGGGACGATTATTGCAATATTTCTTTCTCATGAACAAATGTTGCGTTGCCTCTTAGATTTGGGGATAAACCTTATTAAGACTTTATTCTCCCTTCATTTAAGATGGCTGAAAGAGATGGATAAGCACATCTTACTGCACAGAACAAAGGCAGATGCGGGAAGTTGAATGTTTTTGAGGCAGGGTCCCACAGGAGTGCAGGTGTTTTAGTACCCAGAATCACGGGAAGCCCCTGTTAGCTTGATCTTGCAGGGGTTTAATAGCTTGGTTATTTCCAGGCTCCCAGTGACCACTATGTGGTCTAGGGATATGATTATGGACCAGGAGTCCACCAGATACAATAGTGTGCGCACAAACACACACATGCACGTGCATGCACACAGACCCCAGGAAACGCCAACCTGCTCAAATGGAATCGACATCAGTTAAATTTTGAGAAGATTAAAAATAACTTGAATTTAGATAGATAGGTGCAATTTGACTCTTCATTTATGGCAACAGAAAAAATAACTTGTCATCATGAGTCTCCTAGAATAGCCTTAAAGAAGGCTTCCCTGAGCCTGGGTACATTGGATAACAAGGCTGTTCTTTCTGTTTAGATGTTGGGAGACTGGTGGTAGGCAATAATTGTACTAATGTAATACTGTAAAAGAGCTCAACCAATAATACGTGGACATTAAATTCATACGTGCCATTAAATCCATTCCAAGTCAATAAATCCTAATTAGAAAGCAACATTATATAATCATGTCCCTTTATTTAATAAAAAATGGGGGAATATTCTGGCAATTAACTAGATCTGGGCACTAATTGTCATCTTTCTACCAATTAGTATGTAGGGCTAATCGCCATCAAACCCATAGTTGTTTATATGGCAGTATATAACATCATTGCTGTCTCTTTTTTTTTTAACATATAGCCTTGTTTTATACATTTCAATCTGATAATAAAACCGGGGTATGATTCATGAGGCTTCACTTCCATTTTGTACGCTTGGGCATAATTTACATGATTCTGGTTTTTGAGGTATCAAATAAATGTAAAGCTGGTACAATGTTTTCTTTCCAAATCCTATACCTGTACTTAAGTCTGGTGGTCATTGGTGCAAGGATGTGGGCAAATCAAATGCCCCTAACCCCATAAGACTGTGGAGATCAAAATCGGCATCCTCAGTTCCAGCTGGAAACAGATTAAATCGGAGAAGGTGCCACAACGTACAAGGCATGTTGCATACTCTCTGAGAAATACTGCTACGTGACCAGGCGGCACACTCTGCTCTTGCCTGAAGTTTGAGTTAATCCAAATGCATTTGAGCATATCAGCGAGAACATCACCTCTTTATCTTGGCTGGTCTTTTACCTGATGCAACACGAGTGCTCTGTACAAGAGGGAAGTGTGGATGCAGTCATGTAAGTATTTAGATCACACTGAAGAATATGCAGCGTTGTACATAGACTTGCAAGACCGATAAAGCACTCCTTAGGTACTGTAGATGGCTTGCTTCTGTGTAGCTTTCTGCTGCCAGCTCCTTGCACAGACTTTGTCTTTCCTCAGGAGGGTAGAAGGGTTTCTGTTTTGGACGGAAAGAAGGGTTTGCAACTTGTATGAGTAGCATAACTTATTTTCTACCAGCTTTTCTGCAAATCTTTTTCTCTTCTCCCCACACCCAAGCTATTCTATGATAAAGGGTGCAGACTTCACTTTCTCTATTGGCATGTACAGACATTCGCTCTCCCAAGAGAAACTCTCCTGGGAGTGATTTTACCCTGGTTGTTCCCAGGTGGTTCTTCTCCTAGACCAGCCATTCTTACCCTGGGAGAAAAAGCCTGAGCATGTGTACACTCGTGGTTTCTCCTGGAAGAGAACCAGCTCTCCCAGGAAAAACTGAATGTCTGTACGAGGCCTATATAACTTCGTGAAAGTGGAGCATAGGAGGCAGACAAAAAACAAACAGTAGCACTGAAGAGAATCTAAACCATGTCCCAAAGCGTAGAAGATGGTGGCAGTGACAGTGAGGAAGAGCAAATAAATCCCTGGTTTAATTCCATTGAATTGCCCTAGTGTTCAGAGCCCCATCTGCCCTATGCAGGAAGGAAGTTGATAATAATTTATATTCCTTCTCAGAAAAGGCATTGATAGCTCTAGTCTATGGAGGCTTTGCTGAACAGATGCGAAGAATTTTCAAAATGGCTTCAGAAATGTTTTTGGATTTTAGAATAGCCAATCTATCTGCGCACAAGTCTTTTGGGGTTGGGAAAGGAGCAGAAAACACTTCTTTAAACACCACTTGTAAGAAAAATAAAGCAGGAAAATACTCTACCCTCTCTGTTTTGTTTACAGCTTTGTCCTGACCAGCTTCAGGACAAGGGTAGTCCTGTGTTTTTGGTTGTTTAGTGGAAATTCCTTGAAGCTGAAATAATGTAAAGAACTGAAATCCTTGTGTTCTTTAGCAAAGTGCTTGCGCTGATTTTACTAAGTGAGTGTGCTGGATATTTGCCATGTCAAACCCTGCTCTTGTTAAGTTAAGGCCTTGAGTTGCAAACCTGAACCTAACAAGTCAGTATATGGCAATTAATTTGCTGTTGGCTCCCAAGGGAAAGGGTGTTCCTTGTCTAATTCATGCACAATGTTTCCACACCAAAATCTTTGGACTGGTTTGTTGCACAAGAACTGATATTTCACCCCTTCATCCTGACATCAGATGTCAAAATGTTTTAACTTCCAGCCCATGGGAAATCTTAATTTTCACCCGGCTTGACCCTGGGCTTCTGCAGTTCTTATCCAACCCAAATCTCTCAGCAACAAAGAGCTATGCAGTGTTTCTTGGGAACTGGGAAGCTGTACAGTAGCCAGCACCCAAGCCAGTCCTGCATTTGCACACCTGCCTTTAATTATTGACACCTAGGTTCATTGGTAGCAAATTTATGAACGCTGCTCAAAACCTACAGGCCACGTAAAGAATTCTAATTAAACGCTACCTGTCACTTTCTGTTCACCTCACATTCACTGGATTGTGTTTTGTCAATAGGGCCTTCCCGAGTGCAACAGAAAATCACTCTCAAAGCACCGGAATATGGTTCCACCCTTCCAGCAGAGCTTGTCAGCTGCAATACGATGAAACTTGACAAAGGGAAGAGAGTATGCATTCTTAATGTCCTGGCTGCGTCTGCTCTGGACCTTGGAAGGGGAATGGCTGGAATATGTTTAGCTCAAATGCAAACAGGCATCTCAATATGAAGCATAAGCAGACTTTTTAAATGCCTTGAAATGATGCACCGTATGTCAAAAAGACTTGATTATAGCAACGCCACTTGAAACCTGGGAGGGAGCGGAGGTTCTCCTTCACTCTTTCGTCTCCTCGCCTCTCCCCCATTCATGCTGCATTTGCTGTGGAATAAAACCCAGCCCTTTGTCAAACAGATGCACCTGAAACCATGGGTGGATGTAGAGTTGTGGAAAGGGGGGTGAAGATGGTGAGGTGCATCATCACACATAAAACAACACATTTTTCTCCCGTTAAAAATAAACTAGAAGCTTTACAAACACATTAGAGGCCCTAGGCTATATTATTCAATTTAAGATGGAAGCAAAAACAAATATAACTTCATTGGAATGAGTTAACAGCAGTCTGCTGGGCTGTGAAATAGAATCGTAGAAAACGAGGGCTGGAAGGGACCTCGGAGAATCTTGTCCAAGCCCCTGCTCCAAGCAGGACCAGCCCCAGCTACATCAGACCAGCCAAGGCTTTGTTGAGCCAGGCCTTAAAAGCCTCCGAGGATGGAGAGTCCCCCACCACTCTGGGTAACCTGTCCCAGTGCTTCACCACCCTCCTCATGGGAGAGTTTTTCCTAATATCCAACCTCAACTTCCCTTGCTGCAACTTGAGCCCATTGCTCCTTGTCCTGTATCTGCCCCCACTGAGACCAGTCCAGCTCCATCCTCTTTGCAGCCCCCCTGCAGGGAGGTGAAGGCTGCTATTCAGTCCCCCTCGGTCTTCTCCTCTCCAGACTAAATCAGTCCATTTCCCTCAGCCTCTCCTCACCAGTCCTGTCCCCCAGCCTCCAACCATTTTCATTGCCCTCCGCTGGACTCTTTCCAACGTGTCCACATCCTTTCTGTAGTGGCGGGGGCCCACCAGGCCCCCAGCCACCCCAAGATGCCGCCAAATAGAGGAGAATAATCACTTTCCTCCATCTGCTGGCAATGCTCCTACTAATGCAGTCCAGGATGCTGTTAGCCTTCTTGGCAACAAGGGCACACTGCTGGCTCAAATCCAGCTGTAAAAGCTTCATTACCAGAGCCGGTAGCAGACAGCGAAGCAAAGAGCAAAGGCTAGCTTGATTGGTGGAACATCCAGACCATTACAAAGAAGAGAGGGTCATTAACACCTGCGGGATGAAGAGATTAGCAGCATGTGTGACCAAGGGGAGGTTTATCTCCGAAACCACACTGCCTGCTTTCCACGCAGCCTGCACTCCAGCTTGGTCTCCCTTCGTTACTGGGGAGCACCTGCTGTCTGTAATGCTGGGATAGAGACATCGAACAGCTAAAGATCACAGTGCAAGTAAATAGGCATCATTGCAGCCTGCTTCAGGCCTGACGCTGTGCACCCGGTGGGGACGACAGCTCATCCAGGGACCAGGCCTGCAGCTCAGCTTGGACAGCCGGGACATTTCAAAGCTGGCCATTCTGCTTCCTTCCTCCCACTAGAAGAGCTCAAGGTTTCCACCAAGTTTTGTTCCAGGCAGACCTCCTCAGTGCCCTTGTCTTCCTGCCCCTTCAAGAGTAGGGAGGCATCTTTTCCCCCAGCAAGGGTGCATATGAGCACATTTAGCTCTCCTGGGCAAACTCTTCATCCTTTTAATCCCAGGGGAGAAGAGGTCACTGCTGAGAGGGGCCTGTAGAGATGGAACAGCACACAGACAGGCTTTAATGTAGTGGCTGTCCTAGTCCCAAGCCCCTTTCCTCTATGTTGCCTGCCCTCTGCCTTCTACTTGGCACGTCCATCCTGACAGATGAAAAGGAGCTCGCAGCAACCTGCAAACACCAAGAAAACTATGGTTTACCTACTGCTACAGCCTGGAGGAGAGGCTGCTTTGAAATAGGAGCTTGTCGCTAGGGTCATTTATTTTAATTAACAGTTGTTGGAGTAGTTCCCGCCCAGCTCCGTGCACGCCGTGGGGTTTGCGCTGTTCTGGGGGAGGAGGGAGGATGGGGTGTGCTGTTCCCAGCTTGTCGGCTGTAGTCCTTTTGCCATCGTCTCGGCGCTCTTGATGGGCACCATCAGGCATCCTAGCCCCCTCGATGCTTTCGCTGCCATGTTCACTACCACAAGTGACATTTTTTTTAAATGCATCTGCTAAATGTTTAACAGAGCCAAATATCCAGGGTTGTCTTGAGGCAGATTCTTCCCCTGTTTACACCAATGCAAAGCCTAGATTATCCTGTACTGGTCAATGCAGAAAGCAATATTGGGCCCCCAATCTATTCAAAGGCCCCCCAGCAGGTATGGGTTGCTGTTGCTCACTGACGGCCTTTTGGGAGGGGGATCGGGCCCCTGTGTGCTTTATGAGTGCTTTGTGTGCCCCCAACCCATCTCCTCAGCCCTCAGTCTAACAGGCCAACCATTGCCTCTGCTGGTGAGTCCCAGCTGACCGGCAACTCATTATCCTAGTGACTGCATTGATTTCAGTGGAATTACTCCAAATTCATGTTGACAGGGCAGATTTGGGCCAGAGAACCGCCGCTGTTATTAAAACCTTTGCTAGAACCAAATGCAATTCTCCTTCCTTCAGGGTATTTCTGCATCTGGCGAAGTGTGAACATAACATCGCGTGAAGTCCTAATTACATCACGGCGTTTCCGCTCAGTGGACGCAAAGCAGAAGTTCACCTGATTGCATTACGCTTCGCAAAGCCCCGATGAAAGCGCTGTGGTCCAGCAGCGTTTGAAAGCACTGTCGAAACACGTTAGATCTGCAGCCGGCGCGGCTCTGCGCAGCGTCGGCCAACAGGTCGCCGCGATGCTTTTCAGCCGAGTCTACCGAGAGTCACTTTTTACTGCCTCTTTCCCCCTCCGCAGGTGTTTCTGAAGAGCGACCGGGTGGCCAGGATGGTGCAAAGCGGAGGGTGCTCCGCCAGCGACTCGCGGGAAGTCTTCAAGAAGCACATCGAGAAAAGGGTACGCAGCCTGCCGGAGATCGACGGCTTGAGCAAGGAGACCGTGCTCAGCTCCTGGATGGCGAAGTTCGATGCCATTTACCGCGGCGAGGAGGACCCCCGCAAGCAGCAGGCCCGGATGACAGCGAGCGCGGCCTCGGAGCTGATCCTCAGCAAGGAGCAGCTCTACGAAATGTTCCAGAATATCCTGGGCATCAAGAAGTTTGAGCACCAGCTTCTGTATAACGCGTGCCAGGTAGGAGCCCCTCCGTCTTCGCCTGGGAGCAGACAGGGTGCCGAGAAAAGGGTTTTGCTTCCCTCTGGGGTTGGTGGGGAGAAGGGAGAGGAGGGGGCCTGAAGCCTGGAGGTGAGTGCGCTCCCGGGCAATGTGGGAGGCCTGGACTCTGCAAAGCAAACGCTGGATCCCCAAGACAGCACTAAACACTAGGCGGTGGTTCCCCCAAGTTTGGATGTAGTTAAGCAGACAACAGGGCTTGTGTCTACGGGGTGGAGTGCTGGAATGAGGTAAGAGAGTTGCAGGAGCAGCAAATGTGAGTGGGAAGAAGTTCCCTTTTCCCCCTTTCGTTGGCACATTTTCATCAATGAGCATTGCGCTGCCTGAAGGGACCTGTCTGTGCTGCACAATTAATCTGGCTTCTCTCCCAGTTCTTCCCAGTCCCCGTTTGTCTGCGAGCCAAAGTGCTGATGCCCTGAGTTTGGGAAAGGCTGCTTTGGCCCCTCGGGCTCCCCGTGCCCCTCGTTCAGAGGGTTTGCCCAACCAGGGGTGTTAGGTCGGAGCCCGTGTCTTGCTGTAACCTAAGCTGTGAAAGGAACGTAATGTGCTGGGCACTCGGTGCTCCTAAAGGACAGGCAAGTCTTCCCGTGGCTGACACAATGGACTGGGAAAGGTTTCTAGAGGGTCTTAGCACAGAGAGCCGTGGGATGTGTCCCCCAACACGGCCAGGCGAGTGTGGAAACTGTGAGGACACCTTAACACCAGCAACTAACTGTGCTGTGGCAAAGCTTGCACCAGGCACGAGCAAACTAGGTGTCCAGACTCTGGTGTTGATCGCCCGGGCTAACCATGCTCTACAGCTGAATCTTAAACTTCTCAGTATTTGAAATGTCCCTTCTCCTTACCCGAGGAAATCTACACATTACCTCAAGCTTGTGTTCAATATGCTTTGTGTCCACCCAGCGGCGAATAAACTAGAGCCTGGTCTTAGCCGCAGCTCTGCCCGGTGTTGCACAGAGTAATGCTGGTCCCTCTCTGCAAAACCAGCAGCAGCTGCTTCCCACAGCCCTGGGTTATGGCAGCCATCCTGCCTGCTAGATCTTCCTTCAGAGCTTGCTGATCGCTAATGAGGCAGATGAATTGCTGTCAACCATCACCTAACACGTACACCAGATCCCTCTGCCTTCGTAGGCTCAGGGAAGGAGCAGCTAGGTCTGCGACTCCGTCGGCACGCCTGTCCTGGTGTGGAAAGAGGCAGCTCCGAAGTTGGCCTCTGTCCCCCGATGCTGGATGCTGAAACAGCAGTGAAGGGGTGCTATGCAATCCTTATTCCTCACTCTGTGTGCAGCAGAGATCCAGGGAACCAAATCCTGAGGGTCCCTGCAGGGTATTTGCTTGGGAGCCTGTGCTCAGAGGCTTGGCGGACTCACTTTTGAGCAGACAGTGGTGAAACCAGACATGCTTTTGGAGCAAGACTTTGCTCTCACTTCAGGCCTTTATTCTTGTGAGCAGTAGCTAGAAAAAAACCCTGGCGCCCCTTGTTGCCCGCCTATGGGTGTTTTTTCAAAGCCACAAAAAGCAATTACTTATCTAATTCCTATTCCCGTAATTGTGCCTGAGGAAGTGTCCCACAGAAATATCTAACCCATTCCAGAGTCGTGGTAACTCGTGTGCAGTTGTTGGGTCTAAAATAATAATAATAAAAAAGAAAGGGATGGAAAAGGGGGGTGGGAAGTCTGACACCAATGAGAGAGAGTGCTGCCAACATTCGAGAGCTATAAATAGAGACATCCGGAGAGAGAAATGAGGATGCACGGTAGTGACACCATTAAAATGCATTGGAGGGAGCTCTCGGGAGAGCAAGCGAGCGCCTGAGTGGGAAAATGACAGCTGTTTTGCATATGTAAATAGGAGGGGGTGAGGGGCAGGTGGAATGGCCTATCACAGGAGAAGCCATTAATGTGCAACAGCAGCAAACTTTCAAGCCGAGTACAGACACGACACTTTTGCCGGCATAAGTGTTCGGAAACCTGTAACGGAACAGAAGTTCGGCACACATCGACTGGTTTAAAAATGACCGAACCCGGTCTCAGATTTGCACCCCTCTCCCCCAACCAACGGGCGAACGTGTGTTCTGTTCGCTACTGACCTAAACTACGCCACTTTTAGAAAACTGTGCAACTTAAATCTATTCTGTCTCGGGCTTTTTGAACGCCTGTACCTAACCCGACAGGCTTTCCCTCCCTCCCTCCCTCCCTCCCTGTTTTCATTCCGTTCGTTTTAGTTCGCCTCTTCTCGTTTTCTCTGGCTTGACAAGTGAGCTTTATACCCAGCCTGCCCTGACAAATGAATAGAGCAAGTTCACTCTCCAAGTGGGCAGCTGTGCTTCCACCCTATTTTGAGGGTGCTGTTTGCACAGGTAGCACGTGCTTTGTGCTTCGTTGTTGCCGCCCCATCTGCATATAAATTATTGATTCGATTGTGTCGTGCTGTATTGTTTCCATACAGACGATGTTTCAGTTATAACTTGTTTAAGGACTGCTCACTTGGTTCCTCATAAAGATATATTGCCTCTGACTGAGTAAAATTGATAGGCTAATGAGAGAGATGAGCATGGTCTGACTCTTGTCTCGTCAAAGCTAATTGGCAGTACAGTTTCAATCTTTCTCTGAGTAACCTGATTGGGGCATCTATTGTCTGCTTCCTGAGAGCAAAATGATTTGTGCTATTTTCACTTTCGGTTCCCAAATGTTTAGCCACAGAGCAGGGGCATTGCAGATACTGCCGGTACCAACGATAAGGGGAATAATAACCAACAATAAGGGGAAAATTGTATGCCTACCACGTCTGACTGATGCTTTTCTGGATGGACTGAAGTCCTGACAGTCACGCCGATCATTGTGCACACGTTATCAATTGTGTGCGTACTGACAGTGGAGGTACGGCAGAGTCTGGCTGTGTTGCAGAGGACATGGCACAAAGGTTTGGGGGCCCTCTGCAATGCCACCACATGCCAGGATACATCCTGCAACTGGGGACAGAAAGTCAAACCTTAGTGCTGAGAGTAGAGGTATCTGTGAGGTTTCCACACGTGTTAAGTAATGCACAGCCCAGCCTGAGACGATGGTGCTGACTGAATGCTATGGGTCGGTGAGCTATGGATTAGGAAGCTGTGTCTTTGGCTGGCTGGCAGAATCCCCTCTGAACTTGCAGACCGCTGACACCAATGCAGTTAATTGATCAATCAGTCATTGAGGCTGAGAAAAACAAACTGGCTCGGCTGCCAATCCCGCCTGGGCTCCTAATTAGACATTTGTGCTTCAGGCTCAGAGGCTGCTTGGTGAGACCCTAACCTTTCTTTTCTTACTCTCCCGAGCGGCAAAGGCTGGATGGCTTCTAGAATTAGGCATTCACAAGAACAACTTGGTCCCAGCACATCCAAGACGTTTGGAACAACGCCCTGGTGCATTTAGCACTTAGCATCCAGAAATCGTGGCACTCCTTGCCAAGAGCTTAATTACAAAAGCCGATCTCCCCTAGATGCAGCCACAGCAGAGCTAGGGAAAGAGGTTTCAGATTGACCGTCCTCTCCTTTGTCATTGCTCTTCTCGCATACCCAGGCCAAGGTCGTGCTGGGAGTGCTTGGCTGGTGGGTAGATCTTGCATGCCGGTGTGGACACAGACTATTAGCATCTATGCTATCTATTGCTCCTGACAATCTTTTAATCCTGCATTTGTGCTATGTTAGCTCATTCCAGCTCCTGGGCCATGTGAAACAAGCCACAGCGCTGGAAGGGCAGCTGCTGCTGGTATAGTTGAGTCTGCAGGGCAGGACAGTGTTGTGGATCACACCCCCTGGCTGACACACCACTGCTAGGTTGGGTAGTGGAGACCGGGCCATCGTTTGCACTGGGCTGTCTTTCACCTGGACCTCTCAATGTCCTTTATGAGGGTCACTAAGTTGTATTGCCCTGTGCAAATGCAGGCATGAGATTAGGGAAAATGAGCAATGGCTGTGCTTGGAGAAGGTAGGAACAGGTAAGAGAGCTCTGGACTGAGCAACGTGGCTAGTATCCTGACCCACGGTAAGCCTCGTGGTCCCCGTGGCTTCAGTGGGACCAGGGTTTCACCCAAAGGGTCGATTCAGTTCAGAGAAAGATGCTCATGTATGCCTCTCGGAGAGCATCAGCTCTGCTGCCTTGCTAGGACCAGCTGTTAATTATGTTCCAGAGACTATATTCTTATTCATTGCCATAGAGGAGAGGTTATTTTTACAGGGATTTTTGTATTATTACGATTATTAATAATAATGATGATGATGATAATACCATACCCCTCTGTGGTTCAATGGGAGGATTCATAGCATCCCAGAAGTGATACTGTGGCATCTGAGATTAAAACAGAGCCAAAGGGATTGATGTGATAGGAAAGTATTTTTTTCCAGAATTAAAGAAATGGACTGACATGGCACTGAGAGGAGGAGGAGGACGGTGGCTTTGCCTGCCGGGGCCTTCTAGCTGGACAAGTTCAAATAAGGCCCAAAGTCTGCAAGCAGAGGTGTAATGGGGAAGTTTTGAGTCCTGGGCAGTGGCTGTGGTTGAGCCAACGGCGGCAGCAGCTACCTTTTCTTGCTCCCGCTATAACTGCGTGCCCAGGGCTGGCGCCCCATTCACCCGTCCATAGTTGTGCTACTCTCTCAGAGCTGTCCCTGGGCATGTCATGCTTCCCACAAGCTGACTCCCTGCATTTGTGGCAGTCTAAGAAGAAAGCATCTGCACTCCTGATGATGAATTCTGCTTGTGTACTATGTGTAGGTGAGAGAGGGCATGCATTATACAGGAGGGAATAGCAGGGGTGGTCCCTTATTTCAGACCTAGGCCTCAAGAGACAGTGAGTTTTAATTCATAGATCTGCCTTGAAAATGATTTTGTGACTGTAGAAGATCACACGAGAGCTGACTTCTCCGAGTGGTTACCCCTGGCAGCTTTCACGTTGGCACACGTGCTGGGTCGTACAGGCTG